AGGGGAGGGGAGGGGAGGGGAGGGGAGGGGAGGGGAGGGAGGGAGAGGAGAGGAGAGGAGAGAGAGAAACATCAATGTGAGAAAGAAACCTCAATTGGCAGCCTCCTGTGTGTGTATGCCCCCATGGGGGATCCAATCCTCAACCGAGGTATGTGCCATGACCGGGAAACGCACCTGAAACTTTTTTGGTACATCAGATGACACTCCAGCCAACTGAGCAACCCAGCTGGGGCTGGAGGCTGCAATTTTTGTTGCCTGTTTCTCTACCTCTGACCATGGGCCCAGCCTCAATGTGTGCCAGCCATCCAGGATGGATTGCTCTCTTGCCCTCCAATCTGGTCTGCCCCGTTGGGACTGTACCCCAGCCCTTCATTACTATTGCATCTGCTGGGGCTGCAGCCAAGTGTGGGCTGGGTGCAGCTTCCATCTCTGTTCTCCCCCTGTGCCCCATCCGGTGCTAATATCCCTCCTTCAGGTGTCTCTGTTGGTCAAGTCCAATATATCCTGCTTGTTCCATCAATTATTCAGAAAGGAGTGTTTAAATCTTCAACCATAATTATTGACTTGCCTATTAATCTTTTCAGTTTTGGCTTCATGTATTTTGAAACTCTGTCATTAAGTTCCTAAATATTTAGGATTGTTATGTTTTCCTAATTAAATTACCCCCTTTTTCTCATGAAATGATTATCTTCATTTTAAGTTCTGTTCTGAACTCTGTTTTGATATCAATATATTCACTTTAGCTTTTACTGACTACTGTCAGCATGGAATATCTTTTATATCCTTCATTTTAATCTCTGTTTTTTATATTTAAATTATGTTTTATGTAGGCAGTACATAAATGGATTTTTCTTTTTTAATTTTAACTGACAATCTTTGTATTTAAAAATTGGTATGTTTAGACCATTTCCATTTAATATGATTACTGATATGATTAAACTTGAGTCTATCATTTTATTTTTGTTTTTCCCAGATGTTTCCTATTCCTGTCTTTCTCGCTTTCTGTCTTCTTCTTCATTAGTCAGGTGTTTTTAAAAATTCTATATATGGCCCGGTCAGCATGGCTCAGTGGTTGAGAAGAAGGGGGTGGAGGGAGAGAGAGAGAAACATCAATGTGAGAGAGAAACATCAATTGGTAGCTTCCCGTGTGTGTGTGCCCTGACCAGGAATTTTTTTTTTGCATGTTTCTCTGTCCCTGACCATGGGCCCAACCTATGAACCAGAGGGTCATGGTTTGATTCCCAGTCAGGGCACATGCCCGGGGTTGTGGGCTCAGTCCCCAATGTGGGGTGTGCAGGAGGCAGCCAATCAGTGATTCTCTCTCATCATTGATGTTTCTATCTCTCCCTCTCCCTTCCTCTCTGAAATCAATTATATATATATATATATATATATATATATATATAAAAAATATTATATTATTTATATATATTATGTTTATATATATTTATATATATTATATATATATTATTATGTATTATATATATATTTAAATTCTACGTATCTCCTTTTTTCACTTCTTAGCTATAACTCTTGCTTTGTTTTAATGGTTGCTTTTGCATGTACAACTTTAACTTATAATAGTCTACTTTCAAGGGCCATTATACCATTTCATGTATAGTGTAAGAACCTTAGAGTAGTGTACTTCCATTTCTCCTCTCCCAGCTTCTTTACTATCATTTGTCAAGTATGTTACTTTTATATATGTTATAAACCCCATAATACATTGTTCATTTTACTTCTGCCTGTAAGTCATTCTTTAACATTTTTTCATGCATGTCTTTTGGTTATGAATTATTTTATATGAATGGCAATGTTTTTATTTTGCCTTTTGTTTTTACTGCTTTAAGATATAATTTACATACCATATTATTCACCCATTTAAAGTGGACAATTCAATGTTTTTAGTACATTCATAGGATTGGGCAACCTTCATCACAATTTTATTTTAGGACATTTTTATTCACCCCCACCCCAAAGGAAATTCCAAACTCATTAGCAGTTGTTTTGATTACCTCCTGTTCATTCTTTTGGTGAGGGTCCAACACACAACACCCAACACTGGACAGATGAGATAGACAGCAATTTACTGGTCACAAATACTCATAGCTCAAGGGAGGAGGAAACTGCATAACATACCGGGTCACAGGAGTGTTGCTCCTGGGAGCAAAGTGAATAAACATGGGCTGTGAGAGGCAAGCTTTGTAATGATGTGAGGATGAGGTGACCCTTGGTTCCCACCAGAGGATGTGATTGGCCTGTTTGAATAATTTTGGCTGTCAGGGGAGTGACATTTGCTAGGTTAAGAACCTGGTAGAATGCAGGTGGTACAGTTGATATCAGATCTGGCTGGATGGGGAACTTTTTCCAATGAATTGGGGGAGGGCATATCTGGTGAGAGCAAGGGCACTTGTGATTAGTCCTTTGGGGTCTTGTGAGGCAGGGATGTCAAGGTAGCACTTAATATTGAATCTTAATTTTAGATCTTACACCACAGCAGTCAAACACACCACCCCATTCCTCCCTGAGCCCTCCTCCAGCTCTTGGCAACCACAAATCCACTCTCTGTCTTTATGGATTTGCCAAGTGTGGACATTTCATATAAATGTACTCAGACAATATGTGGTATTTTGTGTCTGATTTCTTTATCATGTTTTCAAGGGTCATCCATGTCACAGCATATATCAGCACTTCACTCCATTTATTGTTGATTAGTGTTTTACTCTATGGTATATCACATTTTATTTATCCATGCCTCAGTTGATGGGTATTTGTGCTGTTTTCACTTTTGGCTCTTATGAATAATGCTGCTATGAACATTTATGTGTACCTTTTTGTGCAAATGTGTTTTCTTTTTGCTATATACCTAGCTTTTTCTTTGCTTTTTAAAGCTTTATTTTGCTGGCTATAAAATATTGGTTGAGAGTTTTTCTTTCAGTGCTTTTAAGATGTTCCTCCACTGTCCTCTATTTTGTATTGTTTCTGATGAGAAATCAGCTGTCATTCATATCTTTATTTAAACACATAATATTTTGGGCTGTTTTTAAGATTTTCTTTTTATCATTAGTTTTAAGTAGTTTGATTGTGATATGCTTTGGTGTAGTTTTCTTCATATTCTTGTCTTTAGAGTTTGTTGAGATTCTTGGGTCTGTGTGTGGGGAAGCATGAGACTTGGTTGGAAAGCTTGTAAGGAGGATATTCCAAGAAAAGGGAAGTGTGTGGAAGGCGCCTGCCCTGTTTATTGGAATTCCCACTTAAGGGAGACTTAGGGGAGTGTGGACGGTGGCGCCCCTAATTATTCCTTGACCTTTCCAAACAAGTCTGTGCATATGCAGACCCCCAGGTGTTTACTGGAATCCTTATGCTTAATTCCCAGATGCCCTTTCCTAGAGTGAAATGTAAACACATGTGTCCTCCCAAAATTACTCACCCTGAGTGTATCTAAAGATAAAAAATCCAATAAAAGCCTAATGAGGCAGGCAATCGAGGCTGCCTGGTCACTTCGGCCAGGCCATCCCTTAGCCTCTCTTTCACAGTGAAACTGTCAAATCCATTCATCCATTGCTCAGGGTCTGCTGGTCAGCCCCAGCAAGGTGTGCCCTGTGTGAGGAGCCCTGGCATCTGTGGGCTAATAGTTTTCATTAAATCTTGATAAACTTCAGCAGCTATTTCTTTAAACATTTGTCCTGTCCCACCTCCACTTTGGAACTCCAGTTATCCATACAGCAGACTACTTGAAGTTGTCCCACAGCTAAATGATACTCTTTTCATTTTGGGGGATTCTTGATCTCTGTGTGTTTTATTTTGGATAGTTTCTGTTGCTATGCCTTTAGTTTCTTATCTAACTTATCATCTGTTGTCAATCCCATCTAATATATTTTACATTTTCAATATTGTAGTTTTCATCTCTAGAAGTTTTATTTGAGTCTTTTTTATATCTTCCATGTCTTTGCTTAACTTTTTTGATTATATGGAATACATATAATAACTATTTAATGAATTTCTCTGTTAATTCTAACATCAATTTCTATTGGTTGATTATTCTCTTTAACATGGGATGTCTTTGCATTCCTGGTCATCTTTGAGTGGATGTCTGACAATTTACCAAGTTCTTCACCTAACAAATTTAACTTTCCTACCTGATGCTAGATAGTTCTATATTTCTCTAAAACTTCTTAAACTTTGTTTTGGGATGTAGTTAAATTACTTAGAAACAGTTTGATTTTTTGGGTTAGGTGGGCCTGTTGCCATGCTTAGTCTGAGTTAATTGTTTTCCATGATTGAGGCAAGACCTTCCTAAATACTCAGTGCCCTGTTAATTACGTGTTTTTAGTCTATGGAAACAGGAACGCTGGTCCAGTATGAGTGCCACTAGTACTTTCCCCAGCCAAACAGAGGGAGGGAGGAAATCCTTCTGGATAGTTCTTTTCCTAGCCTCAGAGAGTTTCCTCACATGCATTCTCTGACCAGCACTTGCTGAATACCTGAGAGGGGGACCTTCTGCACATCTCCAGGATTCATTCCCTTCTTGAAGTGCTGCTCTCTCCTGTCTGGTACCCTGTCCTGTGAACTTAGCTGCCGTGGTCTCCCTGGACTCTCAGCCTCATCTTACTTATTAAGAAGAGACTAAGGGAGTCCCTCTGGGCTGTGCCTCATTTCACCCTCTCTGCGCCATGGCATGGAAATTCTCTCAAGGCAACTGTAGGGCTCACCTCCTTTGTTTCCCGAATTTCAGAATCACTGTCCTTTGCTTTCTGATGTCTGATGTCTTGAAAACAGCTTTTCCCCCTTGTTATTTCAAGTAGGAAGTTAAATCCAGTGCCATTTACTCCATCCTGGCTGATAGAAAAGTCTACCCAAAATGTTTTGACAGATGAATAAACTAGTTGGAATATAAACTCTTACATGAATTTTTTTCCAATAAAGATTTTTTCTTAGTATTTTAAATTCTTTTCATGATAAATTTCTTGGTCTAAATAAGTTTTCTGTTACCTTTACAGCTTGCCTTCGAATATTGATTTGCTAGATAGTCCAGCCTTATTGGAAACAACTATTGATGATATAATTGGGGCACCTGACACTGTGGAAACATTGCAATCACCCGATGAAATTAATGTAGCCCCCAGGCAAACCGGATTAGAGGAACCTGAAGTTGAAGGCAGGAGTGAGTAAATATTCTGTATAACATCAGTGACACCTTTTATTTTACCTCCCTTTTAAATGAGCTACTTAAGTCAGTTCCTTCAAGAATATTTTATGTAGTAGTTGAATTTTAAATATTAATGTAAAAGAGTTATGCCTTCTTGGCTTAAGGGTTCATTGAAGTATTTAAGATTGCATAATTGAGACCATTAAACATTTGATCACTTATAAGTCATTAAATATTTGTACATTTTCAAACTTGCTTTTTCACTTTGTTTCTTGAATGAAAATTAAGAGAAAACATTTCTTGAAAGATTTTTAAGGTTCAGGATTGAGTAAATGTTTGGACATTCCATTAGCTCCTAGAAAGTATTTTGTTTTTATGAGGACTGTTGTTGCACAGACCTATAAGAAATAAATAATCCAGAAAGAAAACTGCTTTCCTTAACATTTAAAAGGTTAAAAGATAACAGTATATTGAACATTGAAAATTTCTAATACTTGTGAATTTGGTTTGATATTAAAGTATAAGTTGTGTTTAAACAGAAACTTCCTGTTGAATCTCAGTGTAATGTATGTTCATTTTAAAAGCAGCTCATGTTTATGTGGCTCTTGATTGGTAATTGCCATTGAGTATGCTGTTGTCTCTCATTATATAGAATACAGCAGTAGTATATAGTAATTTAGAGATGGGAAGTGTTAATGAAAAGTTACACTGTGCTTCTGGTTAGTAGAACATGCAGTAGTACTACTGGTAAGTGGCATTAAAAATTTTTCTTTTGTTCTCCTAGTAACCACTACAAATGCATGGTTAAACAAATATTCTGATATGTTCAAGATTTTATGTTCTTATAGACATCTACCATGTTTGAATTGTGCTTATGAATCTGAGATTAGGGAGACAAAAATTAACTTAAATTTATTATGTTGGTAATTTCAGAATAATGTTCTAATTTTATTTTAAAGATAGTAGTTAGTTATTGGATTAAGAAAACATCCTCCATTACTGTTTGTCTTATACTTTCTTTGCCATAATTCCTTTAGGTTCGTTTCCAGTTTTTACAGCCCTGTCCTGGACTCTACCTTTTGTTAGCAAAGACCACTCTTTGTCACTAAAAAGATGTGAGACAAGAAACTTAAGGCCAGCAGAATTTAGATTCAACCAGAAGCAGGATTAGCTTCATATGGAGTGTTTCCAGGGTTACAATGAAAGTACTCTCCACTATGGAGTTGGTGGTGTTGATTTTATTTACATTTCATTTTATGTCCATTATATGAATTTTAAAAGTTTTTAACAGTGCTGCAATAGTGTTGTATTAGCAAACAACATTTACTTTGTACATACATTCTAGGAAATTGTATTGGTTTTGGTGAATATGGTAGGATGAATGAGGGTTGCCTAGAAAAGATAATATGAGATGTAATAACTCTTCAAATATTTGAAAGCCTGATATAGCAAAGAATTTATTTTGACACTTTATTGGTGAATCTTGGACCTGCAATTTGCAAGTATAGAGAAGCAGATTTGCAATTAGTATAGAAAAGGATTTTTAAAATGTTTCTGCCATATATCAGAAATAGATACCTAACAAATAGTAAGTGAGCCCTCATTTTAGAAGATATTCAAGTGGAGCTTAAATGCTGTTGAAGTTGTGACAGAAGAAACCCTTGCATAGTGTGAGAGTTTCATTAATAAGACTTACTCAGTGCAGATTTATAGCATTTGCTCAAAGTCAGTGAAAATGGATTGTTTTGGTATTAAGAATTAAGGCCATAGAATCTTGGTATCCAATTTATTCTTTATTTTCTTTTGGTTGTAATGTGAAAATCCTGATTCACATAGCTGAGTAGTTATAAATAGTAACTTTTTAAAAAACAGCTTACCCTACAATCTCAGGATGTTCCTCAGCCAAACAGATGTAGCAGAAGAAGCTTTATTTAAGCAGCAACAGCAAAAAACAAAACAAAACACCTAAACCCAATGTTATTAATTTATCAGCATAAGCTAAAGCATTTGTGGTCTCAACATCATCATGTTAAAATTTAGCATCAAATAATTTGAAGCATAAGAAAACCAGGAAATGGCAATGAAGTAAATGAGTATGGATGATTTTGAGATCAGTGTTGAATTAGTGGTTCTCATTACTGGGAGAGTTTTAAAAACTACCAATTCCAGAAAACTACCTCCAGAAATTCTGATATTATTGTTCTGAGGTCAGCTCTGGGAAGCAGTATTACTTAAAAACTCCACATCTGGTTCATATGTTCAGCCAAGAGTTAATTGCTGTATACTTTTATATGATCCTTTTGACCAGGAGGCAATGATTTAATAGTTTTTTCTCCCTTCTTCTGCCTGACTATATAGAAATTATTAGGCATTCAACAACTTTTTTTTGGTCAAATGAACATGTAAAAATTCCAACTCATATCAATTAGTCCCTGTATAAGACTATTATAGTGTGGTTAATTTAAATAGAGTTCATTTAAAGCTGAATTGTGTTAAATGCATTATCTTTTCAGTGGTTAGAGGACTTTATTTGTAACTAGAGGCCCAGTGCACGAAATTCATGCACAGATAGGGTTCCTAGCCACTGCCGGCTGCCGGCTGGGACCTTCCTTCATTCTGTGCCGCCCCCTGATGATCAGATCACATCATAGCAAGCAACTGAACTCCTGGGAATGGTGGAACTCCCAAGTGGACACTTTGCATATTAGGCTTTTATATATCCACTAGAGGCCCGCTGCACAAAAATTTGTGCACTCGGGGGGGTGGGGGGTCCCCTCAGCCCGGCCTGTGCCCTCTCGCAGTCTGGGACCCATCAGGAGATAACGACTTGCTGGCTTAGGCCTGCTCCTGGGTGGCAGAGGGCAGGCCCAATCCCTAGGTGCAGGGCGGATCGGGAGGTTGCGATGCCACCCTCAGTCATGCTCAGGGTAGGGCCAATTGGGGGGTTGGGGCACCGCCCCCTATCACACTCAAGGCAGGGTCAATGGGGAGGTTGTGGTGCCACCTCCTGTCACGCACAGAGCAGGGCCCATCAGGGGGGTTGGGGAGCTCCCCCCGTCACGCACAGAGCAGGGCCCATCAGGGGGTTAGGGAGCTCCCCCCTGTCATGCACAGAGCAGGGCCCATCAGGGGGTTGAGGAGTTCCCCCCTGTCACTCACAGAGTAGGGCCGATAGGGGAGTTGGGGCACCGCCCCCTGTTACACACAGAGCAAGGCGGATCAGGGAGTTGCGGCACCGCCACTGTCACACTCAGGGCAGGGCCAATGGGGAGGTTATGGCTCTACCCTGTCACACACAGAGCAGGGCCCGTGGGTGGGGGGGGTTGGGGCGCCGCACCCTGTCACACACAGAGCAGGGCCGATCAGGGGTTTGGGGCGCCACACCCTGTCACACACAGAGCCTTAGGGCGATCAGGGGGTTGGGGAGCTCCGCCCCCCCGTATCAGGCACAGAGCAGGGCTGATCAGGAGGTTGGGGCGCCTTCCCCTGTCATGAACAGAGCAGGGCGGATAGAGAGGTTCTGGCCCCGCCCCCTGTCACACACAGAGCCGCAGGGCGATCAGGGGGTTTGGGCGCTGCCCCCTGTCACACTGATCCCGGTGCCGGGAGGCCTCTCGGCTCCGCTGATACCGGTGCTGGGAGGCATATTACCCTTTTACTATATAGGATAGAGGCCTGGTGCATGGGTGGGGCTGGCTGGTTTGCCCTGAAGGGTGTCCTGGATCAGGGTGGGGGTCGCCACTGGGGTGCCTGGCCAGCCTGGGTGAGGGGATGATGGCTGTTTGCAGCTGGTCACACACCCTTCAGGGTAGGGGTCCCCACTGGGGTGCCTGGACAGCCTGGATGAGGGGATGATGGCTGTTTGCAGCTGGTCACACACCATTCAGGGTGGGGGTCCCCACTGGGGTGCTTGGCCAGTCTGGATGAGGGGCTGAGGGCTGTTTTCAGGCTGGCGGGTGACTGAAGCTCCCAACTGCTCCTTTTTTTCTTTTTTCTTTTTTATTCTGGGCCAGCTTTAGCTCTGGCTCCAGCTCTGAGGCCTCTGCTGCTGAAAGTAGGTATCTGGTTTGTTTTGGTTCTATAATCGAAACAATGTATAACTCCAGCTCTGAGATCCTGGCCGGCTGAAAACAGGTTTCTGGGGTTTTGTTTAGCTTCTATATTTGTTACAATGTTTCAAACTGCAAGCTTAGAGACCGGCAAGGCAGGCGGGGAACGTTGGAGTCCTCCGTCACTGAAGCAAGCAAGCCTCATGTTAGCTTCCAGCTGCCTGGCTGCCGGCTGCCATCTTGGCTGGCAGTTAATTTGCATATCGCCCTGATTAGCCAATGGGAAGGGTAGCGGTCATACGCTAATTACCATGTTTCTCTTTTATTAGATAGGATACTAGAGGCCTGGTGCATGAAATTCGTGCACGGTGGGGGGGGGTGGGAGGAAGTCCCTCAGTCCAGCCTGCACCCCCTCCAATCCGGGACCCCTTGGGGGATGTCCGACTGCCAGTTTAGGCCTGATCCCTGTGGGCAGTCGGACATCACTCTTGCAATCTGGGACCACTAGCTCCTAACCGCTCACCTGCCTGCCTGCCTGATCACCCCTAACCACTCTGCCTACCTGCCTGATCACACCTAACCTCTCTGCCTTCCTTCCTGATCACACCTAACCTCTCTGCCTGCCTGCCTGATCACCCCTAACTGCCTCTGCCTGCCTACCTGATCGCCCCTAACCCCTCTACCTGCCTACCTGCCTGATCGCCCCTAACCCCTCTACCTGCCTGCCTGATTGCCCCTAACTCCTCTACCTGCCAGCCTGATCACCCCTAACTGCCCTCCCCTGCCGGCCTGATTGCCCCTAACCGCCTCTGTCTCAGCCCCTGCCACCATGGCTTTGGAAGGAGGACTGGATGACTGGAAGATGTCTGGTCTATCTGGTCTAATTAGCATATTACCCTTTTATTATAGATGTGTTTTGCAGCCAAGGTGGAACATAAGACAAAATGCTTGTCCCGCATCACACCTAATGTGTCCAATATGTAATATATTGAGTCAGTGAATGAATAAATATATATCCTTCATCAGTTTGCTCCACATAGTTTAGTTTTAGGCTGTGTATTTTTAGGGCCAAGGAAAGAAAATGGCAAAGTACTGAGGTTTGGCTGGAGGAGCTTGGGTTGTGGTTATAGAAGAAAGGATCATGTCACAGGTGAACTCTGCCTTTTTAAAAAAATATATTTTTATTGATTTCAGAGAGGAAGGGAGAGGGAGAGAGAGATAGAAACACCACTGATGAGAGAGAATCATTGATTGGCTGCCTCCTGCAACCCGGGCATGGTGCCCTTGACTGGAATAGAACCAGGGACCCTTCAGTCCGCAGGCTGACGCTCTATCCACTGAGCCAAACCAGCTTGGGCTCTGCCCGTTTTTTAATTCTTTTTAAAGTATATTTTTATTGATTTTAGAGAGAGAGGAAAGGAGAGGGATAGAGAGATAGAAACATCAATCGGCTGCCTCCTGCATGCCCCCTACTGGGGATCAAGCCAGCAACCTGGGCATGCGCCCTGACCAAGAATCCATCTGTGACCTCCTGGTTCATGGATCAATGCTCAACTACTGAGCCACATTGGCCAGGCATTTTCTTTGAACCTTTTGACTAGTAAGCCTTCTTAACCACACATGCTATTGAGATTCCATATGTAGTGGCTTTTTAGGAACGGTGAAGATACAGGCCAATGTTGCTGGTTAGGTTAACTCTTATTCAAATTAATGGAGAGTTACCTGGTTACAGAAAGAAAATATCTTTATTCTGTAGTCCTAACCCTTTAATTGATGATACCCTCACACAGCTATAACAGCGTGGCAGACTAAGAGGCTATTTTGCCCTTTTTTTTTCAGCATTAAAAGATGCGCCAGAGAAGCTGAAACACCTTGAGATAGAAAACGGTTCATTGCCCTCCCCTCGTCCCAACATTGATGTTAACATCAACAACCAGGTACTCAGATTTCTCCTTGTATACCTGTCACACATCTCTAGACCTCCCAGAAATCCTTTCTTTCCAAAGCTAATACTTTTTCTTCTCTTTTGCTGGGATATCTGTCCGTGCTGGATTCTTATAAACCTGTTTTCTCATTTAAAAAGGAGAAATTTTCAGATGTTTAGGAGGAAAAAAGAAACTTGGGCATTGGCATTAAGAACTGTAAGGTCATCTCATAATTTTTTTACACATAGTCAAAAGTGATATAGATGGTAACTTTTAATTCTGATTCAGCCTTTTTTTTTTCTTTATTCTGTTTAGTGGGTCTTGATTTAGGTGAAGAACTTAGTGAATGGCTTTTGAAATTATAGGAGGATTTTTTTGAAAGGAGCTGCTCTCTAATATAAACAAGGAAGAGACTAGAACTCTAGATGCTTCAGATTTATCTTTCATACCTTTCACCACCCTGTCTCCTTGGAGTTTTTAGACATTGGGTGGGGGGTGGTGGTGCATACCAATTAAACTTTAGTTAATTGCAAAGCATTTTCTTACTTCTATATGCAATATCTAAAATAAATTGAATGAGATAAAAATAATTAATTGTTTTAGCTACCCGATGTCCCCACTAAATGGAAGAGTGAATTTTAGGTAATGATCTGGAGACACCCTTGTATAGACAACAGAAGCAAGGCTCTGTTGAATGAATCCTGTTTTAATTCGGTTTTAAAGAGGAAAGGGGAACACTTGATCTGCAGTGTTCTTTCATCCCTGGATAACTAATGGGAATTTTTTCAGAGACAAGTATGAAGTAGAGAGTGATTTTCTTCTTTCTTGCCTAGTCATTTGTTAAAGCTGTTCTTTTGAATCCAGTTTTTTTTCAATGTGTTTTTTTTTTCTTAGAAATGTCTTTTAGAAGCTGATTAAATTTCAGGAAGGCTTTTATTTTCTTGACCACCTCGATATTTGTAATTATATTGGTCTGTGTGCTTTCACATTATCAGTTGTTTTACTATTACTGTAAAGTAGGAGAATGTAGGGTCAGAGACAGAAGGTTATTTTGACACAAATTTAGTGGAGGACTTGAATGAAACTAAAAAAGAATGAAGCCTGGTGACTCTTGGGGAGGGGAGAAGCAGAGTGAGTGTTCGTTACACTGGTTGAGAACTTAAGCAGACTTTCGGGTGCCTTTAACCCCTGACATAAGCACCTGACCGCCAAGGACTTCTCTGCGGTAGAGGGTCATTTCAGATTAGTTCTAATTGGGGTATTTAGGAATCAGGTGTCCTTTTAATTCTTTTGGTCTTATGTTTGACACATTTTGGCCATCCAAGGCAGATATATCAGCAGCTGGGTGCCATTGGAGCTATGTGCTAAAAGAAAATTAAGTGAAAATATTTTAAAGCTATTACTCAGCTTGTATTTCAGTAAATTTTTCAATTGTACACATACATGATAATTTAAAATTAAAGCAAATTTTAAAAAGCAGAAACTTATGTACCTTTAAACATTTAAATGTGATATATTTTTTTAAAATTAAAAAGCAATAATACTGCTTTTTGAAACTAATCAGTTGTAAACATCATTCTTTTTTTCAGTGACATTACAGGCAATAATTAAGTTGCATGCATTAGTCATCAATGTGTTTACTCAGTCCTCATTAGACAGATTGTGGCTAATTTTCACTGTCCTACTTAGTGCATGAGAGTCTTATCTGTAATTAATTTTCAGTTAGGCTAATCCCTGTAATTCTGTAGCTGTCTTATAAATATCAGCAATTATCTTTGATATTTTCCCCCTGGCAAGTAGAAGTGGTAGGTCAAAGTACAGGCAGGGCAGACTTTTAAAGCCTTTGGTACTTTTGCAAAATTGCCTCCCAGAAAGATGGCAACAATTTATACTTTTACCTGCGATGTTAGTTGAACTATTGTTTTTGTTTTTAATATAGGCATGAAAATAAATATCTGCCTATGTCAGAGGCAGGTTGCTCTGACAACCCTATTATATGATTACTAAGTCATCTCAGGTCTCCAACATAATTGTCTCTGAAAAGAAAATGTCAAAGCATTTGAACTAGCTATAATTTTTTCAGCTTTATTGAGATAAAATCTATAATAATAAAAGTGTAATATGCAAGCCAGGCCAGCCAAGGCAGGTGTGATGCAATTGGGGAGGAGGGGGCACTGCCATCGCCCCATGATCACCCTGCAGAGGGAGGCCCAAGCCACCGGCTAGCGGGGTAATCAATCAGGGGGCTCCGCAATCGCCCCAAAGAGGGAGGCCCAGGCCACCCCCTGCAGGGTAATAGATCAGGGAGCCCTGCGATTGATCGCCCCAAAGAGGGAGGCCCAGGCTACCCTGCAGGCAGTGCTGCAGCGAGTGAGTGGGGCCTCCCTCTGTGGGGCAATCAATCACGGGGCTCCCGGGCTGCTAGAGGGTGCAGGCCTGGCTGAGGGACCCTCCCTCCCAATGCATGAATTTCATGCACTGAGCCTCTACTTGACAAATAAAATTGTAATATATTTAAAGCACAGGACATGGTGATTTGCTATATGTATACATTGTGAAATGATTCCTGCAATTAAATGAACACATTCATCACTTCAGAGAATTATCATTTTGTTTTGTTTTATTTTTTGGTGATAATGTTTAACAGCTACTCTCTTAGCAAATTTCAAGTGTACAGAACAATGTAATGAACTATAGTCACCATGCTGTACATTAGATCCTCAGAACTTTTCCGTGTTATCACTGAAAGCTTGTACCCTTTACCAACCTCTCCCTATCCTCCTCACCCTCAGTTTCTGGTAGCAACCATTCGACTGTGTTTCTATGAATTTTTTTTAGATTTTACATATAAATAATATGCAGTATTTGTCATTCTCTGTCTGACTCATTTCAGTTAGCATAATGCCTTCCAGCATTTTCCATGTTGTTGCAAATGGCAGGATTTTCTTCTTTGTAAAGACTGAATAATATTCCATGTGTGTACACACAGTCACACAAACACCACATTTTCTTTATCCACTCATTCTTTAATGTTCCCATAGGTTGGTTCCACATCTTGGCTGTTGTGCATAATGCTGCAGTGAACATGGGAGTATATCTATTCAAGATAGTGATTTTGTTTCCTTTGGATATATCCTCAGAAGTGGGATTGTTGGATCATAAGACATGAAGTAGCCATGCTCAGAAAAGGACAATAAGGACCTATTTCAATTAATAGGAACCATTCTGAAGATGAGGAGGTTACACACATAAATATAGCCTAGGCCAGTGATGGCGAACCTTTTGAGCTCGGCGTGTCAGCATTTTGAAAAACCCTAACTTAACTCTGGTTCTGTGTCACATATAGAAAGTTTTTGATATTTGCAACCATAGTAAAACAAAGATGTATATTTTTGATATTTATTTTATATATTTAGATGCCATTTAACAAAGAAAAATCAACCAAAAAAATGAGTTCGCGTGTCACTTCTGACATGTCATTACTGGTCTAGGCCAAGGTAGCAATGCTCAGATTTTTATGTACCGAATAACATGGGAAAGCTTGTTAAACATTCAGATTTTGGGATTGCACCCAATTGCAGATATATAGAGACCATACTAAGAAACATAAAATTAAATAATCACATTAATTAAATCATTTTAAACCTGAAATATTGGTGCAGTACATAACCCCATACATGCCAGCTAGCCTGTTTTACAGAACAAAAGCTGTACCTGTGACTAAGAAAATATTTAGAGTGCATTTCTTTTTTTTCTTTTTTCTTTTTTTAAATAATTTTTATTTCTTAAAGTATTACAAAGAGTATTACATATAGAGTGCATTTCTTATTTAGACCAGTGTTAAATAGCAACCATAATAATAATAATTGTTGTTGTTATTTATTGTCATTCATTTTAAGTAAAATATCAGTTGTAGTGTAGATAATTTAAACTTACTAATTTGCTTCCTCCCACTTCTTTTCATAATAGTTAATTTATATTGCTTTAATTATGATCTTTATTGACTGGATTTGTGTTTTATTCTATCATTTTCATAAGTCTATAGCTGAGAGTGACCTGTTTGTGGCTATATAAAATAATCCAAACATAATTATCTGCCTGGTGACAGCTACAGAATTACAGGGATTAGCCTAACTGAAAATTAATTACAATAGTCCTCCCATATCTATGATTTCACTTTCCATGGTTCCAGTTACTTGTGGTCAGCTGTGGTCCAAAAATGTTAAATGGGAAATAAACAGCTTATAAGTTTAAAATTGCGTGCCATTCTTGGAAGTGTGATGAACTATCACGCTGTCCCACCCAGGAAATGAATAGTTACTTTGGTTATCAGATCGACTGTCATGGTCTCCCGGTGCTTGTGTGTTATTTAATAACTAGAGCCTGGTGCACAAAAATTTGTGCACTCGGGGGGAAGGGGGGTCCCTCAGCCCGGCCTGTGCCCTCTCGCAGTCTGGGACCCCTCGGGAGATAACGACCTGCTGGCTTAGGCCTGCTCCCGGGTGGCAGAGGGCAGGCCCAATCCCTAGGTGTAGCCCCTGGTCAGGTTCAGAGTAGGGCCAATTGGGGAGTTGGGGCGCCACCCCCTGTCATGCACAGAGCAGGGCCCATCAGGGGGTTGGGCGCTGCCTTCTATCACCCACAGAGCAGGGCCAATCAGGGGGTTGGGGCGCTGCACCCTGTCACACACAGAGCAGGGCCGATCAGGGGGTTAGGGCGCTGCACCCTGTCACACAGCCGCAGGGCGATCAGGGGCTTTGGGCACTGCCCCCTGTCATGCTGATCCCGGTGCCGGCAGGCCTCGCGGCTCCGCTGATCCCGGTGCCGGGAGGCATATTACCCTTTTACTATATAGAATAGAGGCCTGGTGCACGGGTGGGGGCTGGCTGGTTTGCCCTGAAGGGTGTCCTGGATCAGGGTGGGAGTCCCCACTGGGGTGCCTGGCCAGTCTGGGTGAGGGGTTGAGGGCCGTTTTCAGGCTGACGGGTGACTGAAGCTCCCAACTGCTCCTTTTTTTCTTTTTTTTTTTTTTATTCTGGGCCAGCTTTAGCTCTGAGGCCTCAGCTGCTGAAAACAGGTTTCTGGCCTTTGTTTACCGTCTGTATTTGATACAATGTTGCGGTCCAGCTGGCTGAAGCCCGGCTGAGTAAAGCAGGTTTCTGGGGTTTTGTTTATCTTCTATATTTGCAACGTAGTTGCTTAGAGTTGCAGCTGAGAGGCCGGCAAGTCAGGCGGGGAACGTTGGAGTCCTCCGTCACCGAAGCAAGCAAGCCTCCCTGTTCGCATCAGCTGCCTGGCTGCCGGCCGCCATCTTGGCTGTCAGTTAATTTGCATATCTCCCTGATTAGCCAATGGGAAGGGTAGCAGTTGTACGCCAATTATCATCTTTCTCTTTTATTAGATAGGATGGCCCCAAGTGCAAGAGTAGTGATGCTGGCAATTCAGATATAAAAAAGAGAAGCCATAAGGGGCTTCCTTTAGTAAAAAGCTGAGTACAGTACAGTAAGATATTTTGAGACAGAAACCACATTCACATAATTCTTATTGTATATTGTTATAATTGTTCTATTTTATTAGCAGTTATTGTGTGTATTCTCTTTCTGTGCCTCATTGTAGACATATAGGTAGGAAAACATTATCTGGTATGATGTGTGCTTTGAGGATCCATGGGGATTTTGGAGCGTACCTGCTGTGATGAGGCGGGCAGCGAATGACACATTCTTTGTGTGTGGTTAGTGCAGGCATTTGTCCCAGGTAATATAGTCGGTATTCAGTTCCTTAAAGACAGGAAATTGGGCTAGATGGTTTTTTGTGGTCCCAATCAACTCATATTTCATGTTTGTGATAATCAAGCCTTAGTTTGAAATTATATGTAAGAGTTGACTATTCCTGGAATAGGCTATGACTGTTTAAGAAACATAATTTCCTGGTTGTCTAAATATGAACTTTCATCAGCTCCTTTTCTATTTCCATGTAACTATCAGATTTGCTTATAGTATATTTTTAATATGTAGGAGGAAGTGGTGAAGCTGACTGAGAAATGCCTTAATAATGCCATTGAGAGCCCAGGATTGAATGCTAGGCGAGTTCCTCCTGACTTGAAGAGTAACATTTTGAAGGCTCAAGTAGAAGCAGTGCAAAAGGTAAGCTGCTTTAAGAGAGAGAGTCCTGGTGAAGTGAAAAGAACATGAAACTTAGAGTCCAGAAACTCTGAAAAGCGAATAAAATACATGAACATTAAGGAAGGGTGGCCTAGCTAGTGATTAAAGATAGAGAGTACACCAAGAAACATACTCGAGATGGCAAAATGCCTTCCTAATTCTAAATACAAGCTAGATTAAGAGGAATAGTCACGGGATACAAAGTAAGAGTAGAGACACTCTAGTGTTTAATAAGTTTTTTAAAAAGGTAAAAATCCTATAAAAGTGAGTCCTTAACCCCTAGAGTGCCGGGGAGCGCAATTGCGCTCCTCCTGTCTTTTGCAAATGTGCCGGGAGCTATCAAAGCTTCGAAATGGCGTCCAGTTCTAAGTCTGCTTTTATTAGTGATGATGATATTGCTAAATATGTCAATGTAGTAAAGGTTTTCTTAAGTTTTTGAATATGTAACTTCATTTACTTGTGATTCGTAATTTTTTTCCTAAACTGCTGTAAAATCAGCAAAAATGACTTGGCAATTTTAGCATAGTTCCTCGGATATTGGTTGGCACTCAAAGGGTTAATCTTTGCCTCTTGTATCGCCAGAAAATCTAGAGATTCTTAGGTTCCTGTCACTATTAAGTCTATTATGTTAGGGTTTTTTAATCAATCCGCTATTTCCTACCACCCCTCTACCCCCAATTTGGCAAAATTGTGAAGTTCTAAGCAACAAGAATGAAAGTTACAGGTGAAAGAGTCCACTGTGACATCATGAGTGATACATGGGTTGAGACCAGTCCCCATTACATTTTTGGCATCCATGCTCGCAATGTCAGCTTTCCCTGGGCGCTCCCCTACTTCAGACTGTCCTGTATAGTAAACCAGGACAAACGCCCGTCTCACCAAGTCATGTCAACAAGATTTCAAAACATCCTACTGTTGAGAAGATGCATTTTACCCCTTCTGTACCCAGGCACAGCCTTGAGAAGAACTGAGAAGACTTGAAGAATATTGTTTGTGCTTTTGATCTATCCTCTCCCCCCAGTATAAACATAAAACATAATATTTTCATATGTAAAATAGGTAGGACAACTTGAGTTTGAATCCTATTTCTAATCTACCACCTACTAGCTTTGTGACTTGGCAAGTTATTTAATTTCTCTGAATCTCGGTTTAATTGTATTTGAAAAAAAGATTGTGGTAGTACCTACCTTAAGGTAGGTTACAGGATGAAATGATAATAAATGTAAAGGACACAGAATAGTGCCTGGCACATAATGAGCGTTTAATATGTGTTGGAACTACATGTAGTGGCTGTGGTAGTTGTCATTGCTTTACATTTCAGTTATATTTTTGGATATTTTTTGAATTGCAGAAGAGAGAAATAACTTGACTAGCCTTTAATTAAAGAGATTTTATTTTATAGTTAAAAACCTTACCATGAAGAAAAATCCAGGACCAGATGACTTCATTGTTGAAATCACTGAACATTTAAGGAAGAACTAATGACAGTTCTACACAAAGGCTTTGAGAAAATAGAGAGGAGGGAGCACTTTCCAACTCATTTCATGAGACTACTATTACCCCAATACCAACATCAGAAAAACATATGACGAGAAAAGAAACGATAGACTAACTCTCTTGAACATGGACTCGAAAGCCCTTAACAAAATATAAACAAATCATACTCACAGTTTATGTAAAGGATAGTACATCCTGACCACATAGGGTTTATCTCAGGAAGAAAGTTGGTTATTATTCAAATACCAGTATAGTTTACCATGTTAAAAAATAAGGAAAATTTTCTCAAGTCCTATGGAAAAGTCATTTCACAGAATTCAACCCCCCTTCATGATAAAAACTAACAGCAAACTAGAAATAGAATGAAACTTCTTCAGCCTGATAAAGGGCATCTATGGGAAAATCTATACCTAGCATAATACTTTGTGGCAGAAGATACATTCATTAGAATAGCAACTAAAATTAAAAACTGACCATTCCTATGATGTCAGTGGTAGAGCTCCTGCAGTGTGCGCTGCTGGCATGAATAAAAAATGCTTAATAAGCTCTTTAAAAAAGAGTTTGGCAATGTATTAAACGTACACTTACATACGATTTAGCAGTTCCATTCAGGTATTTACCCAAGAGAAATGAATATGTCGGTTCAAATAGATACTGGTACAGGAAAGTTCCTAGGAGCTTTATTATAATAGCTAACAACTAGAAGCAACCCAAATGTTCATTATCAGGTCAACAGATAAATTATGATATATCCATACAGTGGAATGCCACTCAGCATATAAAGACTTAATTAGTAATAAGTGGACTGTCGTGGGTGAATCTCAAAAACATGCTATTCTAAAGAGGCAGACACCAAAGATAAGTATAATTCCATTTATATGAAACTATAGAAAGTACAAGTCATTGTTTTCCATAAGTAATGGTTTTGATGGGTTTGCATTGGAAGCCTCAAGGGAGCATTTGGGGGTGGTGAAAATGGTGCATATGTTCATGGTAGAGTTGGTTATGCACCTGTATATATTTTTCAAAATTAATCAAACTATACATTAAAAATGTGTGCATTTTACTATATATAAATGATACCACAATAAAGTTAAGGAAAAACATTGATTTCTTCAGAAAAATTTTTTAGAATTCTCTCATTAAATAATTCTTGCATTCAGGGAAAAATAAAATGCCAAATATATACCTTAACATCTGTTTTCTCATGTAAATTCAAAAAATTATGACATGGAATCTTTTGGAAATCTGTATGAATAGACTAACACACCATGGTGTCTTAAATAATTGGAAGTTATCTAGTAAAGCATGTGGCTTTGCATATAATATATTCAAGTGGAAGCGTGGATTATTAATTTGGATATGAGATAAGATTGCATTTGGTGCAGTACTAATATTTCCATAGATAAGGTATGATTACTTCTTTTGGAACTGAAGCAAACTGATATTTCTGTTTTTACAGGAAATATAAGTTTCTTGTTACTTTACTATCCTCCACAAAGACTTAATATTTATACTCTTTTTTTATTTGTTTGTTTTGTTTTTGTTACTCCTCACCTGAGGATATTTTTCCAATGATCTTTTAGAGAGAGTGGAAGAGAGAGAGAAAGACAGAGACACACCGATGTGAGAGAAACACATGGATTGGTTGCCTCCTGCATGTGCCCCAACCAGGGCCTGGGCCAGGAAGGAACCTGCAACCGAGGTACATGCCCTTGACCGGAATCAAACCCAGGACCCTTTGGTCCACAGGCAGCTCTATTCACTGAGCCAAACTGGCTTGGGCAATGTGTATTATTTCTTTTTCTTAGGTTACAAGAGAAGATAGCCTATTGAGTCATAAAAACGCCAGTGTTCAGGATGCTGCCACAAACAGGTACAGTTCTGGGTAAACTGAATTAAGTGATGTTTTCTTCCTCTTCACTTTTTTGGGGGGTCTTTTTTCCTATTCTCCAATCTATCACCACATGATTAGACTGTTAAATGATGTTCTTTTCCTTTTAATTTTTCTGTGTAGCCTTTTTTCTTCATTCCCAATCTATCACCACATGATTTCAGGGTATCTTTTTGAAAGACAACTTGAATTTACTCTTCTGTCCATTACATAGCTACTTAGTACCTAGTTTTAGATTATTTGAAGGTAGTCCTAATTAATCTCTCTATGTTCTCATTGTTTTTGAATTGATTGAAGTTACAGAGCAAAAACAACCTTTACAGGTATTTTTAATCTTATAAGATACCTGGGAGGAATGTATGTTATTTCTCTTGGGTATGGCAGTTAACTTTCCTGTCATTCCAATAGCCTCCTTCTTATAAACTTTCTTTTATTTATTTATTTATTTATTTATTTATTTATTTATTATTTTTAATTAAATATTTATTGTTCAGATTATTACAGTTGTTCCTCTTTTTTCCCCCCATAGCTCCCCTCCACCCAGTTCCCACCCCACCCTTCTCCCTCACTCCCCACCCACTGTCCTCATCCATAGGTGCACGATTTTTGTCTAGTCTCTTTCCACACCTCCCACACCCCTTCCCCCTGAGAATTGTCAGATTACTCCCTTTCTATGTCCCTGATTCTATTATATTCACCAGTTAATTCTGTTCATCAAATTATTTATCTTCTTAAAGGATACCTTTCAGCATTTCATATAATACTGGTTTGGTGGTGATGAACTCCTTTAGCTTTTTCTTATCTGTGAAGCTCTTTATCTGACCTTCCATTCTGAATGATAGCTTTGCTGGATAAAGTAATCTTGGTTGTAGGTTCTTGCTATTCATCACTTTGAATATTTCTTGCCACTCTCTTCTGGCCTGCATAGTTTCTGTTGAGAAATCAGCTGACAGTTGTATGGGTACTCCCTTGTAGGTAACTGACTATCTTTCTCTTGCTGCTTTTAAGATTCTCTCTTTGTCTTTTGCTCTTGGCATTTTAATGATGATGTGTCTTGGTGTGGTCCTCTTTGGATTCCTTTTGTTTGGGGTTCTCTGCGCATCCTGGACTTGTAAGTCTATTTCTTGGACCAGGTAGGGGAAATTTTCTGTCATTATTTCTTCAAATAGGTTTTCAATATCTTGCTCTCTCTCTTCTTCTGGCACTCCTATAATTTGGATGTTGGTACACTTGAAGCTGTCCCAGAGGCTCCTTACACTATCTTTATATTTTTGGATTCTTTTTTCTTTTTGTTTTTTCGGTTGGGTGTTTTTTTGCTTCTTCGTATTTCAAATCTTTGACTTGATTCTTGGGATCCTCTAGCCTGCTGTTGGGTCTCTGTATAATATTTTTATTTCAGTCAGTGTATGCTTAATTTCTAATTGGTCCTTTTTCATATCCTCGAGGATCTCACTAAATTTATCGGTGGTTTCCATAAAATTCTTGAAAAACCTTATAACCGTGGTTTTGAACTCTATATCCAGTAGTTTGCTTTCCTCCATTTCTGTCATTTGTGACCTGTTTCTTTGTCTCCACATTTTTTATGCTTCCCTGTGTTGGTAGAGTGGCTTTTTGTGCTTGGGACTCAGGTGGCACATAGGGGTCCCGGCTGGTGGTGGGGCTTATGCTCCACTGCCCAGGGCTGCACATGGGGCTCGGATGGCAGCTCTCGCAGTCCCGCCCTGCTTGTAGTATAGGATAGAGGCCTGGTGCACGGGTGGGGGCCGGCTGGTTTGCCCTGAAGGGTGTCCTGGATCAGGGTGGGTGCCTGGCCAGCCTGGATGACGGGCTGATGGCTGTTTGAAGATGGTCACACCCACTTCAGGGTGGGGGTCCCCACTGGGGTGCCTGGCCAGTCTGGGTGAGGGCCTGAGAGCTTTTTTCAGGCTGGAGGGCAACTGAAGCTCCCAGCCTCTCCTTTTTTTCTTTTATTTTTATTCTGGGATTTATTTACCTTCAGTAGCTGTCACTGGAGCTGAGAGCCGGCTCCAGCTCTGAGGGCTGAAAGCAGGTTTCTGGGTCTGTTTGGCTTCTATAATTGAAACTCTGTTGCCATCACTGCAGCTCTAAGCTCTGAGGCCAAAGCTGGCTGAAAGCAGGTTTCTGGGGATTGTTTAGCTTCTATAATTGAAACATTGTTTCTTAGAGTGTAGCTTAGAGCAGGCCGGCAGGCCGGGAATGTTGGCTTTCTCCATCACTGGAGCAAGCAAGCCTCCTGTTTGCTTCAGCTGCCAGACTGCCGGCCGCTATCTTGGTTGGCAGTTAATTTGCATATCCTGCTGGTTAGCCAATGGGAAGCGTGTCGGGGTATGGTCAATTTGCATGTTTCTCTTTTATTAGATAGGACTAGAGGCCCAGTGCACAAAAATTTGTGCACTCGGGGGGTGTCCCTTAGCCTGGCCTGTGACCTCTCGCAGTCTGGGACCTCTTGGGGGATGACCACCTGCTGGGTTAGGCCTGCTCCCTGAGGGATTGGGCCTAAGCTGGCAATCAGACATCCCTATGGCTGCCCGGCAGCCCCCGAGGGATGTCCATTTGCCAGCAGGGAGCAGACCTAAGTTGCAGTCGGACATTCTTAGCGCTGCTGAGGAGGTGGGAGAGGCTCTCACCACCACCGCTGTACTGGCCACCATCAGCCTGGCTTGTGGCTGAGCAGAGCTCACCCATGTGGGAGCACACTGACCACCAGAGGGCTGCTCCTGCATTGAGCATCTGCCCCCTGGTGGCCAGTGTGTGTCATAGTGACCAGTCATTCCCAGTCCTTCTGCTGTTAGGGTCAGTTTGCATATTACCCTTTTACTATATAGGATAGAGGCCTGGTGCATGGGTGGGGGCCGGGTGGTTTGTCCTGAAGGGTGTCCCAGATCAGGGTGGGTGTCCCACTTGGGTGCCTGGCCAGCCTGGGTGAGGGGCTGATGGCTGTTTGCAGCTGGTCACACCCCCTTCAGGGTGGGGGTCCCCACTGGGGTGCCTGGCCAGTCTGGGTGAGGGGCTGAGGGCTGTTTTCAGGCTGACCAGCGACTGAAGCTCCCAGCCTCTCCTTTTTTTCTTTTTCTTTTTTTTTTATTCTGGGATTTATTTACCTTCCATAATTGAAACTTTGTTGCCGTCACTGGAGCTGAGAGCCGGCTCCTACTTGCTCTAGCTCTGAGGCCACGGCCTGCTGAAAGCAGGTATCTGGGGTTTGTTTAGCTTCTATAATTGAAACTTTGTTGCTTTTGGAGCTCAGAGCTGGGCCGCAGCAGGCGGGGAACCTTGGCTTCCTCCATCACTGGAGCAAGCAAGCCTCCTGCTCGCTTCAGCTGCGTGGCTGCCGGCCGCCATCTTGGTTGGGTTAATTTGCATATCATTCTGATTAGCCAGTGGGAGGCGTAGCGAAGGTATGGTCAATGACCATGTTTGTCTATTATTAGATAGGATACTATGCAATTCACCCATTTAAAGTGTACAATTCAGGGGACATATGTAATACTTAAAAAAAAATAAAGTAGATAAAGTGTATAATTCAGTGGTTTTTGTTTTGACATGTTTGTACTTAAGAATTATCTATGGTTCCTTCATATTAACTGCCATTACATGAGTCAAGCACACTCTATTCATTCTTTTATTAATGGGAAAATGCTTGTTCCAAGTTAACATTGTGTGTGCTCCTCCATATACACATGTGCTGTTAGGATTCTTTAGGGCAGTGGTTGCCAACTGGTGGTCCATGGACCACTGGTGGTCCGTGAGGTCCGAAAGGTTGGCAACCACTGCTTTAGGGTGTATGCTAGGAGTGGAATTGCTGGGTCATGACACATGCTGAGCAGAATGGATGCAGAAGCTTTACATGTGCTTCTTTCCGTGTTTGGCAGCAGTGTAAGCTACCCAGGACCAGTCTTTTGCTGAAGTGTTGGGAGAATTCATTACTTCTTTTAATACTCACTGTTTCTCATATCAACTCCTTTTGTCTGAGCTGTTCTTCTTTCTGAAACACAAAGCTATTTTTCTCTCTGGTAACTTTCAGGTTTTACTGCTCATTCTTGAGGTTCTGCATTTTCATTACTGTATACCTAAGAACAGGTTTTTTTTTTAATTGTTAGTATTCAAGGTGATCTTTCAATTTGAAGATACATGTCTTTTTTCAGTTCAGAAAATCATAAGCCATTATTTTTTAATTAAATTTATTTATATTAAACAAATAAATTCGAAGAGTTGGCAACATGCGATGGTCTATTAAACATCATTATATTCCAACAAAATGGAGTTTAAAGGCAAAATACACCAACTCTAAAAAAAGCTAAGCCAGTGATGGTGAACCTTTTGAGCTCGACGTGTCAGCATTTTGAAAAACCCTAACTTAACTCTGATGCCATGTCACATATAGAAATTTTTTGATATTTGCAACCATAATAAAACAAAGATTTATATTTTTGATATTTATTTTATATATTTAAATGCCATTTAACAAAGAAAAATCAACCAAAAAAATGAGTTCGTGTGTCACCTCTGACACACGTGTCATAGGTTCGCCATCACTGAGCTAAGCCATTACTTTTTGAATATCCAGTATTCAGTAGTTGAAATATCCTGATCACTTCTCTCTTTCTCACAACTGTTCCTTATTTCTTTTCATCTCTTTGCCTCTATTTGCCTCAGTGTTGTGGCTGCAACCGTCCTAGCTTTCACTTCAGAAATTACATCTGACTTTTCCAGTCTAGGGGTTATCTCTTGTTTTCTCCGTCTCCTTGCAAGATTGGACAGAACTGCTCCTGTCGCTTGCACACTTTCAGTGATACTGGAGAGGGCTGGGATTTCCTGTGGAGGTGTTAGCTTAGTGGAGGATGACCTTTGGCTGTACATTTCACCCTTTCTCCCTGGTGTTGAGCCATCTGTAAGACACTTCCTATTCTTGTTCTCATGTGGGGTTAGACCTGCTTGTTATTACTGCCGGGCCTCCAGGTAACGTTTTCTCTAGCATCCTCTCACCTGGCTGGTCCTGTTGTAATACCTGGAGCATTCTAGATGTTGCTTCTTTCTCAGCAGAGCTCTCCAGCCTGTGTCCTCACATGGAGGTGTCTCATTGAGGTTTTGATTTTCATTTATTAAGGATTAAAGATATTAACATCTTTTCTTCTTAGAGAAATGTCTATTCAGGTCATTTATTTTTTAGTAACAGCTTTATCAAATATAATAAATATCATGCAATTCACCCTTTTAAAGTGTACAATTCAGGGGACATATGTAATACTTAAAAAAATAAAGTATGTGAAGTGTACAATGCAGTGTGGGCTTCTCATGGTTCCTGACTGTTCTCCCATATCTCAGGTATTCTGTATGATTTCTGTTCCACTGAGCTTCTCATTCACGTCTTTGATAACAGCTTTACAAAAATCAATCTATTGATCTATCATTTTTGAGTATCTGCTTTTCTTTTCAAGATAAATCTTTTCTGTCCTTCAGTGAGACTTAGGAGGGAAGCATAGTAGCCCACAATTTTGATCCATCTGTGAGTGAGTCTGACCTGGATTTGAAACTGTTATGTGGTGGGTGGGAAAGGGTTTCATAAAAGCATATGAGCGTGACCTGGACTTCTGTCATGCTCCTCACAAGTTGTAATTTCTTCTTCTCCCACATGAATTTGTTACACTTCTTTCCCAAGGCCTTTCTTTGAAAGCACTGCCCAAGCTCATACAGATCTCCATGATGTGAATTTGAATTTTCTTTCCAGGGCTGTAGTAAATGAGAATAATGTGCCCCTCCCTGAAGATTCCCTTGCTCCAGCGGACACAACACCTGCAGGAAATGGTTCTGCTCTAAAGGTAATAATATCTTTAATCTTTTAAAGGTTTTCCCAAAGACCTTACTGAGTTGAATCCTGTAGTACAACCATGGGCATCTGGTGATGCTGATTCACACCAGAACTCAAGCTATGAGAAAAGCATTGAGCCTGAATTCTCTAGGGAGAGTCCTATTGTCAAATCCCTCACAAGAGGACCTCAGGGATTTTTCTCATTTTTGTGTTATTTGTTGATATTTTTTGTTTGGGGTAGTCTCTGTTTTTTTGGGGTGCTGGCTATGCTTCCTTAGTGTCTCAAACTGTACATGGCACATATTAGGCACTAACTAGTCCTTGAAATAAACTTTCTGAAATAACAGCATCCTGTCATTGTGTTGCAGTATGGCCAGCTCATCACAGCTCCTGCCATTCCCGTACCCACTCCCTTACCAGTTTAGAAAACATTGAAACCTAGTTCATTGCCCAGTGAATGTTTTAATTTGCAAGTTAAATGAAAAATTATTCTTGAAAATAACATTTATCATTTTGCTCTTCTATTACATAAGCACATTTACTGTAGAAATTTCCCAAATATTTCAAAAAAGAAAAAATTAGAAATCACATGTATTCCCACTTCCCCAAAACAGTGTAGTTAATATTTGGGTGTATAACTTTTCAGACTTTTGGGCTAAATGAACAAAAAACCAGGATCTTCCTTTCTGCTAATTAAAATTCTAAAAAGATATATTGACATCTTTGACCATTGAAAATTGTTAGCAGAACCTGAGATTTTTGGAACAGGACATTTAGTTCAAAGATATATTGCATATATAATATACACTAGACAGCATGCTAGGCTTTGGATTAAAATAGATTGAAACATAGTTTCTTCTGATTGGTTAACACCAATCAGGCCTCGGTCAGAATTATAGAAAGGGCGAGAGAATGCTAACGCCTTCTGGTAGAGACATACACAAGCTGTTTGGGGCACTCTCCCAGGCCAGAGGATGGGATGGTGAGATAGGAGGAGGGAGATGTAAGAAGAGAGAGAACACTTTTTTCATGTGTTTAATTAAAGTTGACCTGAAAGCAGGTAGGTAGAAATAGAATTGTATAAATGAAAGGCCTTTTTGTTATGTACTACATATCAGATACTTATTTCTCTTATTTCCATATTGGAATTTTATCTTTTGTACTTTCAAAGTTCTTCCTGTCCCCCATACACACACATGCATGTGCACATATACACACACATGCATGCACATACGCACACACTCTGCAGTACAGAACTGTGTTCCATAAAGTGCTTCAAATACTAATGAAACAAAAAGTGTTAATTAATATTTATGGGGAAGTTCATATTGTCCTCTTCCGCAAATAGTGAAGTTTTCATATACCTGGATAAAGAAGCATTTGGAATTCAGACATCTTTACTCATCTTTCTTCTAGTCTACCCCTCTCTTCTAGTCTAAGAGCCAGAACAGCCCTGGCCAGTGCTGCTCAGTTGTTAGAGCATCATCCCTTTCACCTAAGGGCTGTGGGTTCAATTCTAGGTCAGGGCACATTACCCAGGTTGTGCTTTCCATCCTCTGTTGGGCGCGTGCATGAGGCACCGGATCGGTGTCGCTCTCGCTCTCCCTCCCTCCCTTCCTCTCATCAATGAAAAACATATCCTCAAGTGAGGATTTTTTTAAAAAAGAACCAGAACAGTCTTAACCTTATCCAAATTTTGTCTCACCAGAAGGAATGGCTAATCTGCAAATTCACATAATGCCTAGCTTTGTAAAATTCTGATTATAGTCTAGGTTCCCCTCCCAGTAAAAGTGGAATCACTAATAGACATGATTCCTGAATGTCCCTGCTTGTTTAAAGGTTAACACCAATCAGGCCTCGGTCAGAATGATCATTTAAATTGAGAGGATATGGAAAAAGTAGTCTGATTAGTGGGTCCTTTATCAACTATATATATTTTGTCTCCATAGGATGCTACGGATGAATTTGATGCCTTGCTTTTATCTCTAACTGAGAATCTGATTGACAGCACAGTCACACCTCAGGTAAATATGCTTTAAAACACCAAAATGGGAAAAAATTTCTATTTCGCAAATGTTGCTGCTGGATTCCAGTTTTGGCCTTTTTAACAATTTAGTAAAACTTCGCACTTAATAAGAGTTCATATTTCAGTAACACTTAGCATTGCCTTTTCTGCACTATAAAATTCTACCGATTTGAATATGGGTGTCACAGTACAGTGTGTCACTACTATATGCCTATTTGTAATTCAGTATCATACTGTAAATAACATAGAGGAAATGTGATGATAAACCAGCTTAAGAAGAGTTAAGACAGCCCAGTCAGTGTGACTCAGTGGTTGAATGTCGACCCATGAACCAGGAGGTCATGGTTTGATTCCTGGTCAGGGCACATGCCCAGGTTGTGGGCTCAGTCCCCAGTGGAGGGCATGCAGGAAGCAACTGATCAATGATTCTTTCTTATCATTGCTGTTTCTATCTCTATCTTCCTCTTTAAAATCAATACAAATTATATTTTTTAAAAGAGTTAAGGCAATAAGGACATATTTAACTTTTTAAAATATTAACAGAAAGATGGGAATATAAGAATGGGTGGCATTGAACATATTGATCATTATTGTAGTATGAAAGATACTGTGTTAAGTGCTATGATCATAATACAATAGTTCCGTCCCACCAGAGACTTACAGTCTAGTGGGTGAAAGGTATGCAGATAACTCATCTAGTGACTTATGAGTAATGTGACAAAAATTGCTGTAGGAACTAGATATTCTGAAGGCTTGGAAGTATAGATGGTACTGCCTATGGTGCTGAATGTTTGCTTAGATTACTAGTTCTCAGACTTGGATGTGTAACAGAATCATCCTGCCAGTGATTAAAACATGGCTAAGGAAAGGAGGAAGTAAAACTCTCATTATTTGTAGATGACATGATATTGTACATAGACTCCACCAAAAAAATACTTGATGTGTTAAATGAACTCGGCAATGTAGCAGGATACAAAATTCTGCTTCAACTTTGCAAAAGAGAAACTAAAAAAACAATCCAATGCAAAAAAAAAATTTAAGATACTTAGGAATAAACTTAACCAAGGAGGAAAAGACTTGTACTTGGAAAACTACAGGACATTGAAAAAAGAGATAGAGGAAGATATAAACAAGTGGAAGAATATACCGTGTTCATGGATTGGTAGAATTAACATAATTAAAATATCCATACTACCCAAAACAATCTATAGATTCAACACAATCCCTATTAAAATACCAATGGCATATTTCACAGATCGAGAACAAATACTTCAAAAATTTATATGGAACCAAAAAAAGACCCCAAATAGCTGCAGCAATCTTAAGAAAGAACAAATAAGGGATCACAATACCAGATACCAAGTTACACTACAAAGCCACCGTAATCAACAGCCTGTTACTGGCACAAGAGCAGGCATATAGATCGTTGGATCAGAATAGAGATCCCAGAAATCAACCCAAGCCATTACACTTCTCCAAAGATGGCCAAGAGACATGAAAAAATGCTCAGTCACTGATCATCGGAGAAATGCAAATTAAAATGACAATGAAGTATCACCTCACACCTGTTAGAATGGCTACCATCAATAAATGACAGTGTTGGTGAGGATGTTGAAAAAGAGGAACCCTAGTGCCTGGTGGGAATACAGACTGGTGCAGACACTATGGAAAACATGGCATTTCCTCAAAAAATTAAATATGGAACTGCCATTTGACCTAGTGATCCCACTTCTAGGAATATATTCTAAGGAACCCGAAACACCAGTCAGAAAGAATGTATGCATATTTCTATTTTCATAGCAGCAGTACAATTTACAATAGCTAAGATCTGGAAACAGCCCAAGTGCCCATCAGTAAATGAGTGGATAAAAAAGCTGTGGTACATTTACACCAGGGAATACTATGCAGCAGTAAAAAAAGATGATCTCTTACCCTTTGAGACAGCATGGAGGGACCTAGAGAGTAATATATTAAGCAAAATAAGCCAGTCAGAGAGGGACAAGTATCACATGATCTCACTCATATGTGGAATCTAATGAACAAAATAAACTGATGAACAAAATAGATCCAGAGACATAGAAGCATGGAACAGACTGTGGAACCTCAGAGGGAAGGTGGGGGAGGGTGGGTGGGTGAGAAGAGATCAACTAAAGAACTTGTATCCATATATGCATAAGCCATGGACACAGACAATAGGGTGGTGAAGACCTGGGGAGGAGGGGAGGAGGGACTAGAAGAGTACAATTGTGGAAAAAGGGGACATATGTCATACTTTCAACAATAAAAATTAAAAAAAAAACAACAGATGGCTAGACTCCACCCTGAGTTTCTGATTTGGTAAGTGTGGGGTGGGGCCTGAGAGATTTTCTGTTTTTCTCTATTAACTATAATTTTACTATATTTTTCACATTTAGATTTTAACCCATTTGAACAATTTGAGTTTTGTGGGGGAGGGGATGTCAATTGTGGTTTTGCTATAACCCAATTATGTATTTCATCCTTATATAGACTCCTTATAAAAAGCCAATTCTCTGATTATTATCTATTAAATAATCCATCCTTTCCCAATTGTTTTGTTACTAATATTTCTATTCTGTTTCATTGGGTTCTTTCTTTGTTTCTTGTTTTTGTTGTTTAGTTTTTTATTGTGGTAAAATTTGTATACTATATATATTGTTGTATACCTGATATGTGTGTGTGTGTGTGTGTGTGTGTGTGTATAGTATATACACACACATACCAGGTATACAACATTATAATTCTGTATTTGTACACAGTAGTTCCCTCCTCATCTATAGTTCCAGTTATCCAAAGTTTTGGTTACCCAGAGTAAACCATGGTCCAAAAATATTAAATGGAAAATTCCAGAAATAAACAATTGATGTTTTAAGTTACATGCCATTGTGAGTAGCGTGATGACATCTTGTGCCATCCCCTCCACCTGCCTGGGGCGTAGCTCATCTCCATCCAGCATGCTCACTCACACTGTGCTGCACTGCAGTGCTTATGCTCAAGTGAATTGGTGGGCCCTCTTCCTGCTCTAGGACTGTTGTGTTTTTATTTTCTGACATCTAGTAAATCTTCAACTATAAATTTAGCATCAGTATGTCAGATTTCCCCTCAAATCTGCCTGCACTAAATTGGAGTCTATATTAAATTTATATATTTTTTGAAGAAAACTGGCATTTTAAAAATATCCCTTTTCACAAACTTGAAATATATTTCTAATTTCTCATCTTTATTTGAGTCACTAAATGTTCTCTCTAAGTCTTCTATATTCCTCATTAGGTTAAGTCCTAAATGTAGTTTTATTGATATTGTGAACGGTATTTGATTTTTTTCTGTTGAATTAATAATTTGATTTTGTGTCTAGCAAACTTGCTGAATTCTTTATTAGCCAATCTACTGATTCCCTTGAATATTCAGTCAGTTTCTAGGGTGTGTTTAATATCTGTCTACAATTATTGATTAATCCATTTCTCATGTGTTGCTAGATCTGTCAGTAGTTGTTTTGCATATTTTAAAGATAGGCTGTGAGATGCATATATGTTGATGATAATGATACTTAAGTTTCTTTAAGCACTTTAAAGTATCCTTCTTTGCCCTTTTTTTCTCTCTTAATTTCCCTCTGGATTGATATAAAATTGACACCCTAGCTTTCTTTTAAGTTTATATTACCCAGTATATAATTATCTGTCCTTTTATTTTCAACCTTCCTATGTATCTGTTTGTTTTAAATGAATCTTTTATGAACAACATTTTGTTGCATCTTGTTTTTAAAATCTTATTTGAGTCTTTATCTTCTGATTGAGTTTAATCCATTTATATTTACTGTATGGTAATAATAGGATTTGTTTCTGCATGGTTACTTTAACCGTAGTTTCTCCTCTCTCTCTCTCTCTCTCTCTCTCTCTCTCTCTCTCTCTCTCTCTCTCTCTCTCTCTCTCTCTCTCTCTCTCTCTCCCATTTCCAGTGGTAAAAGTCCATTTTCTTTCATATTGATGGGAAAATAATACTTTGTATTTTTATTCTTTTGATGATTATAACTTATTAAGACCTGGACTTATTTTTTTTTTCCAGAATATAAAGCTACCTGCAAGGGCTAGTCTAAATTTTTATAAAATAGGGGAGTTTATTAGATTATAATTATACACATAAAAGTAAGATCTAGAAAATTAAATGTTGAAATAAATCTAACAAAGGCCCTATGAAGCAGAAGTAATATGGGTGGTTCTATTGTTGTTTTCTAATGAATGCATGATAATTAGAGAATGATCTCTGTATAAACAGATGTTTTTTCCTGTGTATTTTTGTGTGCTATTCATTTTGATTTGTTACAATCCATTGTTCAGAATCCTACCAAGAAGGCTGTAATTATTTGTAATGAACTAAAATTTCAGAAAATAAAATGTTAAACTGATGCTGAGGTGGGGAAAGTCCTATTAAATGAACTGAAAGTAGTAGTAGCATTCTTGGAGTAGTAAATTTTTAGATTAAAGAGATTCTCAAAATTATTTGTGTTGTAGAAAAGAATCTTGGATTCAGAAGTTCATGTCAGCTCAGAGGGACATTAAGAACTGCTCCCTACCCCACCCAATGTATTTCATAGCAGAAGAAAGCATGGGGAGTATAATTATGAAAATAAACACATATATGTAATTTATTTTAGGTATCTTCAACATCCATGATCACGCCCCGGTGGATTGTGCCAGTAAGTTACTACTTGCAATTTTTCTATTGGTTACCCTTTCAGAGTGAGACCTAAAGGATTACCAGGCTCTTGTTTTTCCTTAAAAACAAGGGGTCATTATCAAAATTCTGTTTACTGACTTAATGGCTTCAAACTAAGCTATCTAACTTTTCTGTTTGTAAATGCTTATAAATGATGAACAAAATAAAAATCTGAAGGAAAGGATGATTAAAAACAAACCAAAACAACCATAATCATCAAAATCATCGTCCTCATTACCATAATCATTAGGAAGATGACTTAGAGCTGAAGCGCTGACCGTTGGGTAGGCATTGTCACCTCTGCTCTCACGTGCTGTATGTCTCCCTCAGCAGAGCAGTGTCCTTTCTCATGGACTCGCAGGAAATGGACCATCCTTGGTGGGGAAGGAGGGACATGGTAGTGGAGACATGATCTCGCTGATCTCTCCCCCAGCACCATTCTTGGTGGATGCTGTGACCAGGTGAGGAAATTTTTTTAGTTGTAGTTTTTAGGCATCTGTTATTAGGGGGGAAAATTAAATATATTTGAAGCAATAATGTAAATTTTTCTTTCATTGAACTTAATTGAAATTGGATAAATCTTTTCTCTGTTTACTGTTGAGACTAGTGTTTTCTTTTTTCTTGACAAGTAGCAATTTTCTACAAAATTATGAAGTAGACATTATGGCTTTTTAAATGAAATCTTTGTTAGATAAAAAAGTTACAGGCTTATCTTTTAAAATTTATATTTGTTTTTTGTGTGTGTATTTTTAATTTATCTATTGTTGAAAGTATTACACATGTCCTCTCCCTCCCCCACATTGACCTCCTCCACCGCACTCCTGTCCCCCCCCCCCAGGCCTTCCTCTGCACTGTTGTCCATGGGCTATGCACATGTGCATATTTAATTGATTTGTCTTCCTTTCCTGCTTTGCTATTCTGTTGTCCATCAATATGGTGAAGAGGCACAGCTCAGGGTGACGTAGGAGCTCCCCAAGGTGAGGATCTGAGATAACCTGTATGGAAACCTGTCGCACACTCTTTCTACATAGCACTTGCCACAGAGAAAAACTGGACTCAAAAGAGCTTTTGTTTATCATGCAGTTCTTCAACATTTAGTTGTTAGGACCAAAACTATGCTCATTTTACAAAAGCTTTAAAATTGCTTTCATTTTCACCTTAGACTTTTTCCTGATTATGTCTGGTATTTCTCATGTCCTCCTAGTATTGAAAATATGAGTCAGTTGAAGTAAATGCTTTCCTAATTAGAGAGGAAAAATTATTAGATGGTTAACTTAAGAGAAATTTAATAGGTTATTTTTCTAAACATTTATCTGCCTAGTAACTGCCACTATAAAAATAGAGATTACATACAGAGGACCAGATGATAATGCTTTATAATTGAGTTTGCACAATGTAATGTGGGTTCTTAAGGATTCCTAAATTAAAAATTACAGATGAAAAAGAGCTTATCTCTACTCCTTCCCAAAGCAAAGTAGTCATAAAGGAATAAGAGAGAGAAAAATGACAAGTAGTATACCTGAAACTAATATAATGTTGTATGTCAATTATAATTCAATAAATGACAAGTAAATAAATCAGTGAAACAGAATAGAGTCCAAAAACAAATCAACATGTTTACAGTTACCTGATTTATGAAAAAACACTATAGGGAAAGAATGGTCTTTCAGTAAATCAAGTAGACAAGTTAAATGTCCATATAGGACATTTAAAAAAAAATTCAATTAAATTTATTGGGGTAACTGGTTAATAACATTATATAAGTTTTAAGTATACAATTTATAATACAACATCTGTATACTCCATTGTTCACTTATATTTTTTTCTAAAAGCTTTATTATTTGATGTTTCATATTTAGATCTCCAATCCATCTAATGTGGATTTTTGTATGCTCACCCCGCAAAGTCTAGTGTCCTTTCATCACCATATATTGACTTCCTTTACCCAATTTGTTCTCCCCCCATCCATTCCCCTTTGGTAACCACCATTCTGTTGTCTTGTTTGTTTTGTCTTATTTGTTCACTTATTGCTTTTTGTTTTATATCCCACATAGGAATGAAATCATTGTTCTTTTCTATCTGACTTACTCCACTTAGCATGGTACTCTCAAGATCTGTTCATATTATCACAAATGGCCATGTTTCATCTTTTTTATGACTGAGTAGTATTCCATTGCATATGTACAACATCTTATTTATTTAATCATCAGTTGAAAGATACTTAGGTTGTTTCTATATCTTGGTTATTTTGAATAATGCTGCACCGAACACATAGGTACATATATTTTAACAGTGTTTTAATATTTGGGGGAAAATACCTTGATTCACCTCATACCATACACAAAAATCCATACTAGATGGATTGGAAATCTAAATATGAAACATCCTATCTAATAAATAGCGAATGTGCTAATTGACCATCACACCCTCACAAAAAATGGTGGTGTCCAGTCCCCTCAGCCCCACCGGGAGTCAGCAGGTACCATGTGCCTCATCCAGCAGGAGTCCCCCAGTCCCCTCAGCCCTGCCTCACCCAGTCCCCACAGCAGCCAGCCTCATCCAGCTGGAGCCCCCCAGTCCCCTCAGCCCCTCAGGGGAAGGCAATTGGGGGCAATTGGGCCGGCAGGGGAGGGCAGTTGGGGACGATAATGCTGGCAGGGGAGTAGTTTGGTGTCAATCAGGCCAGCAGGGGAGCGGTTATGGGGCTATCAGGCTGGCAGGCACAGTGGTTAGGGGCAATCAGGCAGGCAGGCAGGCAAGTGGTTAGGAGCCAGCAGTCCTGGATTGTGCGATGGATGTCACAGGGATTGGGCCTAAACCAGCAGTTGGACATCCCCCAAGGGGTCCCAAATTGGAGAGGGTGCAGGCTGGGCTGAGGGACACCCGCCCCCATGCACGAATTTCATGCACTGGGCCTCTAGTCAAATAATAAAGCTTTTAGAAGAAAATATAAGTGAACATCTTTGTGACCTTAAATAGAGGCAAAAGTTTTTTAAACAGGCCACAAAGAGCTTTATTCATGCAGCAAAAACATTATAACTTGGGTTATATCAAGAACTTCTGTTCCTCAAAATATATCATTTCGAGAGCTTGAAAAGAGAAGCCACAGAGTGGAAGAGAACATTTGTATTCCCTCCCTCTCTCTTCTTCCCTCCCTCTTTGTTTTTGACTCTGTCTCTCTATCCCTTCCTCCTTCTCTCTTGCTCTCTCCCTCTCCCCTGTCTGACAGAGGACTCTGTGTATATAAAGAGCTCTTATAAATCAATAAGAAAAAGACAACTCAATAGAAAATTTCACAAAATAATTTAATAGACAATTCACAAAAGGATATACAGATAGGCAATAAGCATACAAGATAGGTGCAGCTTGACTAATCACTGAAGAATACACATTCAAACCACCATGTGAGAACACTGCGTACTACCAGAAGGGCTACAGTGTAGAGAAGACACACAGTACCAAGTGTTGGTGAAGATAGGAGGCAGCTGGAACTCTGAAAATTGGAATAGCCATGTTGGAAATAGGTTTGACAGTATTTACAAAAGTTGAACATACCCAGTGAATCAGTGACTCTCTTCTTATGTGCACACCCAATAGAAGTACAAATATATGTGCATTGAAAGACATGCACAAGAATATTTATAGCAGCTGTATTCATAATGATCCAAGCTGAAAACTTTACAAAAGCCCCTTAGCAGTCAGCTAGATAAATACTAGAATAGAGCAGTGAAGATTAATGAACTACAGCTGCAATGTAGCAATACAGATGAATCACATAAACATATTTACATTATTCATTCTTTGTTGTGGAACCAAGTACCGCATATGTAGCAGCTTAAAACAATACGCATTTACAATCTCACTTCCTGTGAGTCCTTTGCGTCAGAGTTCTCACAGGCTACAATCGGGGTGGCCAGGGATAGGTTCTCATCCTAAGGCTCATTTGGAGAAGGGCCTCCAGTCATGGTCATTGGCAGAAATCAGTTCCTGAGGACTGTTAAACTGAGGGCCTCCGTGTTTTAGCTGGCTATTGGCCAGAGGCTACCCTCAGTCCTTGTCACATAGACCTCTCCACAATAATTGCTTACTTCATCAAAGCTAGCAAACCAAGAAGGCAGTAGTATCTGCTAGCAAGCTGGAAGTCACAGTCATGTACAATCTAATCACAGAAGTGTCATTCTGTTACCTCTGCTATGTTCTGTTGACTAAAGCAAATCACAGGTCCTGCCCATGCTCCAGGGGAGGAGATTAAGTAAGCATGTGAATTCCAGGAGGCGAGGGTCATTGGGGATCATCTCCTCACCGTAATGTAAGCAAAGTAAAGTTCAAAATGAGGCACAACTCCTAGAAATCAAAATACTGGTTATACTTGAGGTAGTTAGTGACTAGAAGGAAGTCCAGAAAGGACCTTTGGAGTGCAAGTAGTTTTCTGTTTCTTGATCTGCATGCTGATTAATTGCAAAGGTATGTTCCATTTGCAAAAAGTCATCAAGCTGTGCACTCATGATCTGTGCACTTCAGTGTATCCATGTTATAATCAATAAAACTTTTTTAAAAATGATGCCTGGTTGCATCTTTACAGATGAGATTTACTTTTAGTGTTTTCTGTAAAATTTAATTTGCAGGTATAAAACCACAAAGACAAAGAACAGGAGAGGGGACAACAGCAATTGAGAGACCTCAACAAGTTTTGGAAGCAGATAAATGATGAATAAGTAGTAACCAATTTTGCAGGCTCCGTTTCCTTTTAATATAACTGAAATCTAAACCTGAAAAGGGGAGAGAGTGGAAACTGAGTAACATATAAAGCACACAAATTCACATTGCAGAGCCCTGGAGAGGCTCAGGAATTGGGGGTTCTGATGTTTGTGAAGATAGGGTTATACCCCATGTAAATAGTCCTCCCTGACCTACCCGTGCTGGAGGAGCTGGGCCAGAGAGGCTCTGGATTGGGTTTCTGTAGAGTAAGGCCCGAACTGA